AGTGCCTGCGTGCGGTCGAGTTGCTATTCCAGACGTACGATTTCGGGAGAGAAACAGACGACGACAACGAAGAGAGAACAGAAAAGAGAGGAGGAGAATGTGAGAGAAAGGAGGGATCAAGGATTGAGGATGCCGTCAAAAGATCGAGGATGATTAGCGCGATGAGAGGTGAGGAGACAACGAATAGCGGAGATCCATGTGATTTCGTCGTCTTCAGTGGGCACATTGCGCAGATAATTGTGACAGATTAGGGGGCCCTAAGAAACATAAGATAATCGGCGTCAGTCAGAATGGCTCAAGCTGATGGTAATTGAATCGATCAAGTTGCGGAAGCTGATGAGCCCGCCTTGACCATCGAATTCTCACTCACAGGTCACCACATCTTTTGCCAACTCCTCGCTGGACCTCTTCCATGAGCTGCTCGGATCCTAGATGAGCACGTCTGTCTGGAATTGAGTAGTGACATAGATCGGCAGCACTAGAGTGACCAGTAAATCTCTTAGCCCGCGGATCAAGCGCCAAAAAATCAGACAAACAAACTGATGCACATACGCTGACATATCATATGGCCTTTGGAACACCAAAGAGGGTATCGAGAGAAGCAGATGAATCCAACGGGCCGCTGAGAGAGTTGCCGTATGGGGTTGATTCACGGCTATTGAAGAGTATGTAGACTCACCGATCGAGAGGGTGTGACATGATGTCACAGGTCATTAGTGACCTGTGACATCATGCGGGCAAACACATCCTCTGAATTTTTCTTGCCCAAAAAGGTCTCTCTCTATTCAGGAATCTGACCGGGCAACATTCCCCCATCACTCAACTCCTTCAAAACCACCAGACACTACTTCGGGTACCCCTCCTTCAACTCAAAAGCCACCAGCACCAAGGCCTTGCACCTCCTCGGTAGTCAGAGAAATCTCGGCCGGCCCACCCTCTGGCAATGGCCTACTCATCAAGCTGGAACCGCTCTACAGCCCACCGAAGGTGCTATGCTCCTCCTCACCATTGTCTCCCTCCCCCCAAACCTCCTTCCAGGACGATGTCCTTCACTGAGATTCCACTCGCTTGGGAATAACCGGCCTGCTCAAACAGATCATGTGCAAACCAGCTATCCGTAAGAGCTTCAGTTGGGCCTGCAGTCTGATTCCGACCCGGCTGAATGACCCTTTGTTACCTCCAGCACCAGGTCGGCCATCTCAAGAGAGTCGCAATCGTGCAACCCAACCACCTATAGCCTTGGATCAATGCCCGATATTGCATGCCCCTCGGGCCCTGACCCATTGACTGGAATCTTTGCTGATTTGATTCACCAACCTACTTGCGATTATTCACCCGGCTTGCAGGAGTCTTGTGCCCAACCGACACAATCACCTGGACAGAAATCAACAAAAAACTCAACTCAGTTCTTTAGCCAATCTACTCGAGATTATTCACCCAACTCTCAGCCACCTTTTGGGCAACCGGCACAACCGTCTGGACCACGATCAACTCGGACCTCAATTCAATTACCTTACCGATCTACTGGCAATCATTTTCACTCCTCTCAGCCTTTTCTCAGCCCACCCTGGCAATCATCTGGCCCACAATTGCCTGGAATCTCAGCCAAAGCCCAGTACCGATCTTCTCACTCTTATTCACCCTCCTCTCTGCCTATTCTTGGCCCCCCCGCACGGTCGTCTGGACCTACACGCAGGCCTCTGGACCGACATCCGCCTAGCTCTGCTCATGAACATGCAGGGGGTCAATGGGGTCCCCTGCCTAGAGCCCACACCTCAGACGTTACATCTCACCAAGTTGCTTCCCATCATTTTCGCCAATCCAAGGAGTTTTTTTGCCCCCCCTCCCGATTGTCTGGGCCTACACGCGGCCCTCTAGACAAACGACCATCTAGTTCTACTCATGAAAATGTAGGGGATCAATGGGGTACCCTGCCCATCCCTCAAACCTCAGACACTACATCTGGCCGAACTACTGCCAATCATTTTCACCAATCCCAGCCCATCTTTTGCGCCATCACTCCATCTTCCGGACCGAATCGTGGTTATCTAGACCGATGGAATCCCAATTCTACTCATGTGCATCGACGACGCCAATGGGGTCCCCCTGCCATTACTGGGATCTCAGAAGTTTCATCTCACCAAGCTACCCACAATCAATTTCCCCGATCTCCGTCCCTTTTTGGCCCACCCACTCACTTGTCTGCACCTATCCTCTGCCCTCTTGACCAAAGGCCTTTCGAATCTACCCATGTGCCTTCAGGGGTGATGTGTAATTCACCCACCTTTAAACAAACAAGGAAGCCACATGATCCGTTGGCTCTTCTCTCTAACTACTCCATTGACAAAAATGATCACCCAACCCAAAGACAGAAGCGTAACCAGAAAATTTTCCCACGCATCCGCAATCCATACTTCACTGAATCAGTCGGTCCGGCCAAGGACCCCTTTGTTCTACAGCTCAACTTCAATCCACCTAACCCTTTCGTCATACGACCTTCGCAATTTCATTCTCATCGTGTGGTTGCCACTACTGGCTCTCAACCAGTCTTCCTCATAAAATTCCATCCTCTTGATCCAATCAACCCAGCCGAACAAGGGGTTGTGAAAAAAGCTTGGGGAAATCATTTCAAATCTCTATATCATGACCAATAATCGGCAAGATATTCACCCTCAAGGCATGAACAGTGGCATCATGAGAGGTGTTGGCTTTAGACCTGGTTCTGATAAAGGTTCTACTGCAGGTTAGCCTTGGAAAGTCAACTTTTTGGTTTACTGGATGCTTGTTCTGAAATATTTATTACTTCCCCAGGAATCTATGCTCGTCGGCCCAATCTTTCCCAATCCACCTTGGATGACGATGATCTTCGCTGGGATCAGTTAGGCGATCACAATCAATTCCTCTGCACCCGAGTGCAGCATTTTTCAAAGCAATGCTTTCGTGACAATGTGGATGTCATCAAATCTTTCGGAATCCCAAGCTGGTCCAACACTGAGTGGAACGATTTTGAACAAGAATGCAACGGCATTTTCTCTAGTGCGGTCGTGACTCATGCCGACTTTTCGAATGATGCACATAAGGATAAGGACTCAAACCCATGGACCTACGGGCTATTCAGCTACATCAATCGATCAACGGGTTTTCCTGTTGTACCTCAATCTTTGGTTTCGGGACATGGATTTCGGTTTCCGGACTTCAACTGCGAAATTGACTTTGGCACTGCTCCAGGCATCATTGAGATGATATGGGCAAGTAACACGATTGAACATCATACCACATTTCCACCGCAACCACTTCAATCAACCAGCACAATAACTCATTTTGGTTGTTCATTCCAAATATGTCAGAAGTTGGTGGACAGAGCTAAGATATTAAAAGATAAGTCTGCTAAAGAAAGACAAGAAAAGACTCTGGGTCGCCAAAAAAGGAAGTATATGGAAGTGGCAAGGGCAGAAAAAAAGGCAAAAGATAAGGCCCAAAATAAGAAGAGGACTCTTGCGAACCAAAAAGCAGCAAAGAGAAAACCAAAAATTCAAAACAACTTTCTAATCCATTGAATTCAAGTTTTTTTAATTGTTTCTATTGAATAGCTTTTGAATTTTAAATAAACTATTTATATTTTGTATGAATTTAATCTTGCCAATATCAAACTATTCTTCATCTAAATTGATAAATTCAAGACTTTCGGATGAATCAAAATCATCTTCTGATCCTAAGTCTGGTGAGGGGGGCCAGTTGTAACTTGGGAGTGCAAGATTGTCAGGGAATGTGTTCTTGATGTATGGGAGCATGAGTTCATAGGCTATCCAGACTGATCCAATTGAAATATGATCAAACCTGAGTCCAAGAGCCTCCATGACCCCAGTGGCTACATCATGGAACCAAGGTGGTGTTTGGGTAAACATGCTTTCTTGATCTGGATATTCCTGTTGCATTATTTGATAAATTTCATTGACTGGGACTGGGAGAAGTTGATCAATTGTACCAAATGACTCCGGTGTGCTGTATGAGAAATCAGGAGTACAGGCAGTAGGAAGTGAAATTCGATGGTCTCAGCGCTTTCGTGAATTGTTTTGATGCAAAACCCATCGATCCACACTGGTTTGGAAAACTGGCAACCAAAGAAAAAGAAACAGGAGTCTGGGAAAAAATCCTTTAGTTGATACTCTAGTTTTTTGTGTGTGATTGATATGGCCTTACTTTTCAACCTCATCATCTGGATCATATCGCCCACTTTCAACTTGCTCCTCTATGACATTTATCACGGCTTGATTATGCTGTTTCATCATTTGTGACCAGAGAGCTTCAATTTTTTGATTTTGAGTTGATTTAGTGAAATGCATTCTTTTGGCAGCATCTTCAGGGCTGATTCCAGCGTGTTGATGTGATATGTACATTTGGTATGCGGCCATATCAATTGTCTCCGAGCCAAAATCTGTTGTGACCTTGAGAGGAATGCCACCAGCAGTTGCTGCAGTACGGAGGAAGTAAACACCAATGTGTTTAGGATCATTGTTTGTCACATGAACAAACATTCCTAGGATTTTTCGGGACCAAGCATCAATAATGCCATAGATACAAATACCATATTTTTTTAATTTGTCGTGCCCATCACATGCCCATACATGATTTGGGCCATGTGTGCGGAAAATGCGTCTTTTGCATGTTTTTCGAAGACGCTGAGCCAGCCCTTCTGGATCAATCTGCTTGAGTATGTCATAAACAGTGTTTCTAGCAGAAGTATTTCCTAAAGTCAGAACCTCAGGTGAAAAGGAGAAACAAATATATAGGGTACTTACCGAGGTATGCTGATAGAATAGAACCTTTTCAAATAACGATGCAAGCTTCGGTAGCCAGCGGATGTTTGGAGGAGCTCGGTGCGTGCATGGTTGATGCACTCAACAACTTTCTCAAGTGATACTTTTCCATCTTGAAGGTCATTAGATTGTAATTTTAATTTTAGGTATTGTAGATATCTTTGGATTGTTCGGATGTGTACATTAATGTGAGTTTCTTTCAATAGGCGTGCTTGAATCTCATACAAGTTGAGTCCCTTTGAATGGGAGGATCTTAGGGATGCCTGAATGATTGGGGAAGGGCCTTGAGGTAGGTCACGCTTTTGGAAACCCCACAACTTTCGCTTCCGGTTTAGCGTGCTGAGTGACATATGGATCCCATATCTCTCTTGGAGGATGAGAAGTACTTGGGGGCCTCGGTAGCCCTGGTGAAAAAGGTATCGCAAAGTTTCTGGCTCATTATATCGATCTTGAGGGCTTGGTAGTTGGGGGGTATTATCTTCATCAGATTGAGTGTCATCGGAGCCAGAGTACTCGGTACTGTAGTCCGAAGTTGATATATCACTCATTGGGTGACAAAATATTGGCTGGTGTGTAGGGAAGAGGGGAGCAATTCGGGGCGAAGTTCCTTAAGCCAAATTGTGTCCGGTAGGCAACAGTTCCTGCCTGCACATGTTTCAAACTACTATTACGGTTACAAATTGGGTAGTTGAGATTTATGAAACACAGAGAATTCATATGTTTTGATACAGCCCTATTGGGAATTGGGATTCTGGTTCAGGAATTGTATCACTCATCAGAGATTGTTTTGTGCTTTCGCCTTTTGGTTTTAGGAATTAGGACATGAGCATTAGGGGTGACACGATTGTGTCGTGCCTGGGCTTCCGTAGATATCATGCGTGTCTATCAGAAAGTCAAAACTTGTCGGCATCTTCAGATTCCTTGTTGAATGATCGGACTTGCATTTGTAGGAAGCACTTGCCGTGCGTTGTACATATTTGCTCGAAACGCATTGAATGTGTAACAAGATCAACCATTGTTCTTCAAAAATTGGGTTAATTTTAGACTTGATTCGGCGTTTTACAGGGAGGCTTTCACAATCCGTCCACCCAGCATCTGCTGTGGAAAAGGCCTGAAATCAAAGCTGCAGAGCTTCCAGCTGACCGGCGCATACATACAGCCACCTCCGCTTATCGTCTTGCAGCGGGTGGCGAAGGTCAAAAAATGGCAAGCAATCTTGTATATGTGGATGGTCGACGGCGCTCGTGTATGTATCCCTCTGGATCCGGAGACGGGGCGCTATATCCTCAAGTTCAACAGTCTTGGTGACCGGTCTGTGACTCACCACATGGGTTTGCGAATGCTATGTAAACAAATGCTGAGGGATCGATTTAAACATTCATAAACTGAGCAAGCTCAACTCAGCTCAAGCCAGCTCCAGAGAAGACACAAGTGCGACGGAGAGTTTGGCGCATCAATTTTGTAAATCGTCTGTGTAGACTGCTAGAAACTGAGCCGATAACTTAAGTACTTTGTTTGTCAATGGGTCGCCGGACCGAGAGCGATATCCTACCGTCTGCGGGTTGCTTTCGTCGAGTTCCTCTACACAATCCCTACATATTCAGCACGTTCCTGACCTCTTTCGAGCGAGCTGGAGACGATTGGACTTGAAAAGAATCGAGACGAAGGAGGCGTTTGATCAGCCTGGGCTATCGGTATGCAATCCCTGCTCTCTCCCGGTGTTCTACCATCCACGGGCGATGAAGTCCTAAGGCAGTTTGTGCTGGATTCTGATGAGGAGATCGAAGATTCTCCGAGTTCCAAGAGGGACAATAGTACCAATATTGAGATGACAGTCTTTGGAGACGATGATATCATCGAGATGAGGGTCGGGGTGAGTCCTTTTTCTGTTCGTTGTTCGCTGCATCAAACGCGATGATCGCTTTCAATTGACAACTCACTCGTTCCGCTTATCTTCAGCCAAGGCATTTTACCAACGGCAACAGGCGAGCCGTAGCCGTAAGCAATGCCCTGGTTGGAGGATCACAGACTTTTGAACACTGACGACATTTCTTTTCCTCGATATTTTTCTCCTCTTCTCGGATTGGCAGGTCAAGCGAGAAGCGCTCGACAAGAATCGTCTCAACGGATCACCAAGGTCTGTCGGCGAACGGTCATCGGAACGTGGACCCACGCCCGCCAATGCATCATTTACGTTCGGTGGTGACCACGGCCGAACGGGTGTGCAGACTACGGAATCTTTGCGAACCACTTCTGGCGTCAAATCATCCCTTCACACCCATCAACGCGCGACATTCACTGCTATACCAAGCACGACAGCCCCTCCAACTCATGGGAGCTGCAAAAGCAAAAGCCAAGCTAAGCGACCTGTACCTTCACCCGCCACCGCACCCGATGCCACAGGACAATACGAATCCTCAACCTGCCATCAATGTCGCACCAAGACTACTCGACCAAAGATGATCTGCGATCAATCCTTGAATCCCAATTGCCTCGTTCGAATTTGTCGCCCCTGTCTGATGGATCGAAAGGCTTACGACGAGATGCCTAAGCTTCGAGGGCCACTCTTCAAATTCGTGCCTGGCGGGAAAATCCTCTGCATGAAGTGCAGGAATATCTGTCCTTGCGCTTCCTGTCGGAGGGCCCGAGGCGAGAGAGGGGTGATGGGTAATGGGTTGAATGGGTTTTACGACTTAATGCGCGACGAGCCAAAGACCGAAGCACCGCTAAGGAAAACAAAAAGGAAAGAAAGAGAACAAGCGAAACCTAAGCAGTCACCCGGTCACCCAATGGTCGACAAGTGCAAGAATGAGCAAAAGGGAGCTGAAGTAGTTTGCTTGGAAGAATCTTGGGATGAACTTGTTGGCAAATCTAATCGAACGATCATATCCGGTAAGAATGGCAAGACTACAGGACAATCGCACGCTCGATCCAATCACATCGGATCCAGAGCGTCTTGTGGGGTCAGGAAGTCGCCGGATCCGGTCTGGATAGCGGGATGCTCGCGGAAGCGAAAGTTCTGTGCCAAGCAGTTCACAGATGAGGAGAGTGATTGTTGTATCCCGGTCGATGGGCCGACGATCCCAGCACCGAAAAAGGAGAAGCCCGGGTTCCGCTCGAAGGATCCCGAGGATGTCCGCCAGGACCGGCTCGAAAGACAGCTGGATTCCCAGATCCGCAAGCTCGAACTCCGGAGGGCGCGCGAAGAACTCGAGCGGAATAATGCAACCGCTGACGCGTTCACTAAGGCTAAGATGATCCAGCAGTTCTTGCGCTGTGGGTTGAACCTTGAAGACGCCTTGAGGGCTACTAACGAATGTCTCTGCTTGCCCACTCAATCTCCAGCTCTGCGTTAAATCTGCTTCCAAAACTCGCTCAACTGTGTATCATCCTTTTTTCTTTTTCTTGTTCTTCTTTTAAGCTTGCAGCTTGCTATAACAATGTTGAATTTCTTGTCGAAATCCCTAGCAACAATTTGAAGTTCGCCTTGATCTGTATTTGCAAATGAACAAAACTTGGACCGCGTCGAAATTCTTTGTGCATGTGCATCGATTTTGTCTTGTATGATTGCTTTGCTCCCTCTCACAACAATTGTAAGTAAATGCTGTGGCATGTTTTCTGATACGGCTCATGATCTGACTTGTGATCGCCGCCATCGGGATGAACCTGGAAGCAAGACCTTGTATATAAATACAAATATCCATATCCGTCAAAGAATGTTCACCAGGAGCACTGACCTGCTTGTGTACAAAACTCGGCGATAGAAAGAAAAATGGAAGACCCGATTTATGCAGTAAGAACGCGGCAGAATGAAGAAACGCCACAGGTAAAGCTTAAGGAATAGCCAAATCGTGGGGCGTGATTCTCTTGACCTATCCGCTCACCCTCCCTACACTGGAGAAGTGCACAAAGGAATGCATGCAAATGCACCTCCAAAGTGCAAATCCCGCGGAATTTGCTCGAATCCCGATTCCAATCCCATTTCCAATCCCGCAAATGCCTCCCCCCAGATTCATTTTCAGAGTACGATGTGGTAGCCCACACCGGTCGTACTCCAAATCCAATCTTTCAGTAACTGAGACCGTTCACAGTAACTCCCCCCATCCCATCACGGTAAGTGCATGTAAATACATAGAAGTGTATGTACATACACTACACATGACAGGAGTAACACTACACAAATATGTATATGCTGGAAGGACCGTCCACCCGAGACCGTCCTACCCTAACCCAAGCAGCACTCTACCTCTGAGACCTGTTCCCTGTTGCCTCAAGCACATGCTAAGACCTGTTTCCTCAAGCACATGGATATCAGTGCAAGCGGTTTCACCGCGCTGACCTCATTGTTGTGATGTGTCTTCCTGCATCTCATTCTGGTAGAAGATTTCAAGAAAAAAAAAGCATGATCATAATGGTGATAACAATTACAGACAGACTTAGTTGGCTTTCATTCAAGATAGTGAAATAAAGATATTATAAGAGATAGATATTATAAGAGATAATGCGGAAACATTGGAGGAAGATGCGATTAAGTGTTGATAATGTTGTTTATTGGAAGCATTTCAACTGTGGGACTCTTGGTACTCGTCAAGATCATCATTGGCAGCTGATTCACCATCTGATTCTTGATCTTTGAGAACAACTTCCTCTAAGAGCAAATTCAGGCTGAGTGTTGAGTCGTTGTATATATCTAATTTAAGAAACTCTATTAAGGCAAACCACGTGTTGGGTATAACTGTGCGGCCCACTAAGCCCTGCAATACCATTTCTTCTATGGTTACATGCCATGTTACCAGCAGTGCTTCATGCTGCTGCTGATAAGTTTCCAATTCATCACGTAGCAAAGTCTTTGCACGGTTTTCATCTTCACCTAGTGCATCATTTAATGTATTCTGCAGCCCACTGCTTAATGGACCTAAAAAATGAAGATTTTGATCAATCAACTTTGGTCAAGTAGTACCAACACACAGACATAAACAAAAACGTACCCAGTACACATTGATCAATGCATGATTTCACCTGATCTCTGTGGGAAATCCCCCATGAGACGGTCCTTCGCAACTCAATCGTCAGTTGAACAAGTTCCTCTTTTGAACGTTCCAAGGCAAGGACCGCATGGATTCCAGACCGCACGTTAGGATTGATGGCCCATGGGTCCTTAGATAGGCACATGTACCCATCGTTCCAAAAGGGGTCGTCCAGCGGGATTTTCTTAAATTGGTGATAGTCAATTGGTGCATTTTCTGGCAAGTCGAGTTGTTCAGGACAGTGGTTTCTGAGGTAGTCAGTACGCCGAGTCTGGAAAGTGTTTAGAACCGAAATGACGGATTTCTTTCGACGATCCAGGGCATCGAAGATCTTCTCCTTCAAGACAGTTCCCAGGCGCTCGCCCCGACCCTTTGAATCTCGCAATGGTTGCAATTCACCTTGAATCTGAACGGCAGCCTTATAGAGTGCTAACTTGGCACTGTAGAGGAGCCCCAACCGTTTTTGTTGGTCCTCTATTGAATATCAATATTAGTTGTATCCTGTTGCCTTTATCAGTTTTCAAAAAAAAAAAAAAAAACAAAGGCATCTTACCATCCTCAATATTAGCTGTTCCAAAATGAGAGCCCAGTTTTTTCGTTTCCTCATCTTGCTTGGCCTGGAGCATTTGGATCTCACTCAACTGGTTCATCATCTGGGTGGGATCGGACTGCGAGTGTGATTTTAATCCTGACACAAGCATCTCACTGGACATGCAGAGGGAAAGAAGTTAGCTTGAAAACATGTAACAAGAAAGAAACATATGGTCACATACACAAGGGTTTTGATGGTTTCACCTCGCTCAAAGAATTGTGCTAGCTCCTCTTTGTGGGCTACCTCCTCCTCATTTAGATTGGCATGGAAAGCACGCTGAGCTTCCCATTGTGCCCGAAAAAAATCCTCGGTGAAGCAAGTGCCACGTTGATGTGGGTTTGGCTGACTCAGAAGCTTGTCCAGATTTGTCCGAGCATCTTTTTGATGAGTGATTGCATGGAGTGTCTTCCTCTTCAGAGTTAATACTAAGAAAAAAAATCAGTAAAGAAACCCAAATGCATAATTAGAAATAAGTGAAAACAACATACACAGCTTCTCCATTCCAAGCATGTTGTGGAATACACTTCGATGATTGATTCCACCAAGCCGACGATTTCGAGTCGCATACCTTTGAGGGCCCACCAGTGGGGAAAGATAGGACCACAGACGCTCCAACCCCTCACCGTCTGTTAAGCCCCATCCCTTGTTGTATCTTGGATTGAACTTAAGTTGACATGCCCAGTCATGGACATAGGAATGAAATACTGCTGTAGCAAATTTCATCCTTGGAAGATGTTTGGTAAGTAAATTCCGGGATTCAAAAAATTTTCCCAGGGTGCAGCCAATATCGTAAAGAACACCTAATTGAATATTGGGATTTAGTTCGCCAAGGAGCCGCTTCAAGATTGACATAGGTAGGCCACGTCCTTCTCCCGATTTGTGTATATTACAGAAATAGATTACTGAATCGTGTCGGCAGCAACATCCAAACAATCCAGTGTCATCACAACCTTTCCAAGTGCTGGCGTTTCGTCGGTCATCTGCAGCCTTGTGCTGCTCTGTACATCTGTCTTTCTGATGAATTACAGAAGGAATATGAATATGAGTTGACTGAACAGAGAAGGGTAGTACATAAGAGACATACCGCTTTCTCAGTCTTTTTTTGAGCTTTTTCGTGGGTTAATATTTGGTCGTTAGAGGCTTGGATTTCTTCTGGAGTGACAAACAGATGGGGAGTATGAAGGGGCAGGTGATTTTTGGAGGCCTTCTCATGATGTCGGTGTTGAAAATTTCCATCGAGGCAGAGGAATACTTGACTAGTGTCTGAGGGTTGTGATTCATGATCGACCGGCAGGGAAACACCAAAACAAGCTGGACATGACCGTTGGGCTAGAATGTCTTGTGAAGAGCAGGCGGTTGTGGTCTGAATTAAATCTTGTTCTAACCGCTTCAGGTGTCGGTAGGCATCGACTGAACCTGAAAAACAACTCCGAAGATCCCTGGGCTATGTGAAAGTCAGAACAATCACCACTGAGGAAAACATGAGTTCTTGCCACTATACCTTCTTTTTCTCCTTGACACACAGCCTGATTGAAATTGTTTCGTTCCACCTCCGTATGACTTCAGTAAATGAGGTCAAATGGGTGTTGCATATATTCCACAAGAGATCATAAAAGTGAAGCAGACGTAGAGAAAAAGCAGTCTGAGGGAAAAGGGGTGTGCTTGCAATATAACCGTTAGCCAACATGTTTATTGGGTCGGGAAGGCAGGAGCAAAATGCCATTTTGGTTCGCTTTTGACCTGTCAGACAAAATGAATATAAGTGCTCAATCTGAATAGCATATGTTCAATGAAACAACTCACCCATGAGATCAATGAGGTCAACCTCTCTCCAATTCTGCTGTCCTGGAGTGCATTTACACAGGTCCTTTGAAAAGTCTTCAAGACAGCCAATCTGGGACCAGTTTTGCGTTTTCTTTTTCAAATGGAGGTAGGCTGGGAACATCGATATCATAAGATCTGACCAATTCCTCATTTTTTGCTGCTGTATGAGTGCTTGATGGTGTGATCGAATTTGTCTGAGGGATTCGGCGTCTTCCGGTCTCATCTCGTCTGGAATGTCATACCAAGCATCCTGGTCTTGATTGTGATGTGAGGTTTCTTGGTGATCGTGATGTGAGGTTTCTTGGTCGGTGTTGTGAAGGTAATCATCTTCAGGTATCAGTTCAGTCAGCGGCACAGGAACACTAGTCGTAGTTATATCTGATACTTCAGCTGCCGTTTGTTTGCGCATCTTGTTCCGGTAATCCTTCTGGGATCTCGTTTCGATCCGTGGCATCCGTGATCCTTTGTGGAATTGGTGGAGACTAGATTTTTGCTTTCTGGCTGTCATTTTTGATGGGTTCAAATGATGAGCAATCGTCAGTTATGCTAAGATGGTGGTTTATGTTGATATTTTCGGAAATGTTGGCAAATCTGGGCATCTCTGACTGCGCGAACCTGAACTCACATGCCTCATATACAGTATCACTACCCCCAAATCCTGTTCGGCAATTGTTTTTGGGCACCTAGCTGTGCTGTAAATTTCAACTCAAAAATAAAATGATCTTGAATAACAGGACAATAGTAAGAATATTAATTGGTAGCTGAGGAGATAAAGCAATAACAATTCTGAGGAAAATGTAATTTTTCTGGTAAGCATAAATCGTGTTCTCAACAACGGATTTGAAAACAAACTTGGTTTAAAGAGCTGATGAATAATAGCTGTAGTATGAAATAATAGCTGTAGTATGAAATGATAGCTGTGAGAAAGTTATAATTCATTTAGACTTCTCCCTCTCTCTCTGTTTCTCTGCTTTTTTTTGGTCTTGATTCACAATGCTTTTTTCGGCATTGTCTATTTGTTTCTTTTGACCAGCTATACAGTCGCCAGTTGCTGTACCATTGATGTAAGCAACAACAGCATTTGACATGGCTTCAGACATTTGACAGGAAAAGCCAATTCGAGTATACTTGTCGGACGGTGAGGATCCAGCCAATGTCTGA